ATATGTAAGTTGAGCTGGCAGTCTGTGTCTTYTGTACCACTGAAAGTGATTCCCGAAAACATATCGGAAAATATGTTATCGGGAATCACCCAATACTCATACTTCTCGTACTTTTCTTTGCACGAAGCGGTTCGAAATTGCCTGGCGCATGGGAGGAAATGGTTCTTCGGTTGCTGTCATGATACTACAGTACGTACGGTACGTACGGTACGTACGGTACGTACGGTACGTACGGTACAGTAAAATTAACCTTCTCGTCTTAGCAACTATGACCTTCTTTATGTCCCGAAATGATGTCTGTCACTACTTTAATGACCAGCGAAATCTTCCGAAATATTTCTGGCGATCTTAAATTTCATGATTAGTTCTACCGTACGATACCGTACCGTACTACGGCTACGAAACTGCAAACTTGCATTGAAGCACAAATTTAGTCCCTTACATGCTAAATGCATGCAATAAACTGCACAATCTACAGTTCAAATTGAATTGTGGTGTAAAATAGCAAGCAAACATCCAATTAAGACCTAGTTTTTTGTGCAATTTATCTTAACATTCTAATGAACATACTGGGTTCAGTGGATAGTTAGGTCATGAAATTTTTATTCCCTCCAGAAACAACAAAAACAAGTTGCAGTCACATGGTGGTGGCGGGCAAGAACAACAACGAGCGCCTAAGATTTGCTGGCGCGAAGTCAGAAAACAAAATAAATTTCGAAGGGAAAAAATTGCCATAAAGTTGTAAATAACCAAAGAGTTACAACATCAAACACATGAACACATATCATAGGTAGATAATACTATTAAAGCGGTAAGTTGTTGGGACTTGGGAGGTGAACAGCTTGTTTTATTTGCAACATTTGATACCAGAGAGAAATGCTGATCATAATGCATCCTTTTGTTACAGTTCAAGCAGTAGGAACTGATATATCTATAAGATCGAGTATAACAGAACAAACGATGGTTGAGAAGACAAACAACGTTGATGGGCATCAAGAAGACGCAGTGATTGGGCAAATTCAAAAGATTCCTCCCTCAGAGATTGATCATATTGTTGATCTTTCACTTTCCAGTGGGGTGACATATCTAATATCCACCATCCTCTTTCTTGTACAAATGGATTGTTTAAATGAAAAAAGAAAACGTCTTTATTGTTCAATATACCTTCATTTTGGCTGCTGCACAAAAGCTTTGTATCTTCAGCGGCTACAAAATTGGTGTGGATCGTTGTATGTTGCTCTCCTTTCCATTGAACATCGCATAGTGGCGGAGACGAATTTCAAGTGAAATGATAGAGCGTTGTGTTTCGCTGTGGATAATTGGTCGAGAAAACTACTGTAGGCAGTCATCCACAACGCAACACAATTTGTCACAGTTGATCGCATCCTTTACAACTTGAAATATTAGTCGACGATTATATTCTACACTTCTTTTTTCTCGTCGTCGTCCTCGTCCAGCGGACCCAAGAGCTGCTGATGGTGGAGTCCTCCTATCATGTTGCTCTGGCCTCGTTGGCCCTGCATACGTTTCGCCTGTTCCATCATTCGTCCCATCCTTGTTCCGCCACCCGAACCTTCGGGAACGTCTCCTCCCAAAAACGTTCCATCGCCGGATAGATCTCCTTGTCCCTGTTCTTCTTCGAGGTATCGCATTTGTTGCTCTTGCCGTTGTTTCATGAATGCCTGAGCCTGTGGCGATTTCATTATTTCTGCCTGCCGAGCATTGAAAGATGCCCGACGATCCGAAAAGTCGTCGTAATCTTCCCGGGATTTTTTGCGTTCATCCTCGTCACCGGAAAGGCTAGACAGAAAGTCATCGTTGTCCCAACCCCGTCCTCCGACCATTCGTAGTACTATGTTGACTGCCGGCATTGCTTGAGATTCTGAACTTGACGCGAATGCATTGTTCGCGTTGGACACCACGAATGCTGATGCTTCCTTCGGACCTATGAAGATTGCCAAAATAAAATAAATAAAGAGTTTCATTATAGCTCTATTTCTCTGAATGACTAAGAGTGGAGTAGCCCGATGTTAAGGTAAAATAGCGAACCACTGTGTACCCGTCTTCATTGTCTCCTTTTGTTAACATTGATTTTAAGAAGGACGACGAGTTCTGCCAAAAATCTTCTGAGTCGGAGTGTCGAAGAAGTCGAGAATCAGAAAGAATTCAAATTCAAAGTTTGTTTACTATCCAATCAAATTGGTTGATTGGAACGCAGTGCAAGTTGTACCTGAACCACATTCAAAGTTGCAAGGGCAACAAAAAGCTGACAATTGATAGGACATACTTTGAAAAGCTGCATATTTCCTTTCTGTGGTATAGAAACTTTATGACAGAATTGGCCTTGCTGCTGGTATCGGCATATGCTTGTTGCAAATATAACAAGAACATACAAGAAGAAGAACAAGAAGAAGGAGTGGCTGGCTGGTGAACATCATTCTTGCTGCAAGAATGCTGCTGGTGGTGGTGTTTACAAAAACATTGGCACCACAGGCAGAAAGACTAACATGGTGCACCAGAGATTGGTACTGTTTGGAATATAGGAGTAGTAGTAGGAAAGAAGATGAGATAGACCCTCTAACAATGCTGGTGTCAAATAGAAGTACTACCTGGTGCTGGAAACTCTTGGAATAACCAGAGGATTGTTCTCAACAGCATAACCTTAATACCAACAACAAATCCATTTGGAGATCTCCAGTGTGGTTTCAAAAAGCAATGAATGAAGTACCCTGTTCCTACTACTATCTATGGAGTGGAGGAATGAATTCTACTCAAGAACAAAGTTTCACTGGCCTGGATGATGATGACCTTTGCTATTAGTCTTTATTGCAAAGCCACACAATCACCATGAATGCTAGTAGATGCATGGAGGAAGGACCTTGTGTTCAAGTTGTTTGATGAGCTGAGTGATGGATAGGAAAGATTTGGTCAGAAGATATTTGATTGCTGGTAGTTGGAGATCAGTCTCATGAGGAACATGATGGCTGTTGGCCTCCTCAGACCTGAAAGGATTTTCCAATAGCAATGTACTAGATTGAGAGTGCTTCACAAAGAAGATAATCACATTGTCTTGATATATTGCTGACACCAAAGGAAATGCATGGACAAAAACTTCAAGTTTTTAACTCTATTTACCTCAACATGGAATATGTTATCGTGTTAGTTGTAGCAGTAATGTACAAGGAAATTGATTGGTGACAAATAGTACTAGTACCACTACTACCACTCCTAGTAGTAGGTTTTCCTTTACTAAGAATTTATTGTCACACTGGAGTGTTGCTAACTATGAGTCATACCTAGGATATAGGGAAAAACCTGAATTGATTGACCAGAAATCACAGTGAAAATGCTAAGAACAAAATGCACCAAGTGATGATATCTGACTGTAAGGGTATGTGAGTGATTGATTTGAGCATCAAATTCAGACAAGCTAGCTCCAACATTTCCAACCTCTGTTCCAAACCTTAAATCACAGTCAAAATCCTAACAAAAAACTAGACAATATGAAATCTGGCTTCCTACTAATAGGAATACACCTGTACACAGTGGATGGGACAATGGTTTTACCCTGGGAGATGATGGTATGTCCACTCCCAGAGGCTATCATTTGATTAACAGCAGCAATCCACCTTGAGTCTGAATTCTGGGTCAAGGGCGCAGCTGTGTCAGTATCTGAGTTGGAAGCACCATTGTCAATGTCCTAGGCCTCTATAGGGTTGTTCTCCAAATAGGAGGAAAGCCCCTGACCTGTAGTGTCGGGAGGGGGGACATAGCCTTCTGGGTGAGCACCAGGTGGAATGGGACCATTAGATCCACCAGAGGGAGAAAAGGGGGGGAGCTGTAGAAGGGGAACCAATGCTGGGGCAGCATTGTGCTTTGTTGGTTGCTGAAATGTACTTATTTGTGCATTTACCAAGAAGGCAAGCACAGCTCACACAGGAGCTCTCAGCACCCAGACAGTTGCAGCCCTTGATCTTTGCTGGAGGAAGTCATAAGAAGCATGTGCTTAATTTGTTGCAATCACAGCAAGGGAGGGGCTTCCTCCTCTTGTTAGGTTCCCTTCCATGGCCTTAGTTGCGCTTCTCTTTGTTTTTGTTGAGTTTTTGTCAATTTTTACTGTTTCCTGACATTCTCATTTGCCTATGATCTGGAATGAAGGATGAGCAAGCAAGTATGCAATTTGATAAGAGAAGAATCATCCATATCTAAGTAAATCAATTCAATTTGAATACCTTCCACTTGTCCAACCACCATGATACGACTAGTTGTAGTAGTCATAATAATAGAACTAGAACCACCAGCAGTAGCAACAGCCACTAGTAGATCTCTTTGATGTCACCTGTAATACTATGGCATATAGTGGGCTCCCAAATATACAACTTAGTTTGAGTTTTTGGGCTCTCATTTATTGTGTACTAATGACAGCTTTGGCTAAATATGGTTTGCAGCCAGTCACATACTGAATTTTTTAATCACATGACGATCTACCTTTTGTGTGCATTGACAGGTTTTCAAAAGTTACAATAATATTACTACTTGGAGATAGTACAACTGATTCCTTTTGAAGTGGAAATGGAGCTTCCTCTTCTTACTAATTTGCTTTCAGTCAGCACCAAATCCACAATCCAATCATACTTTTTTTGAATGCCAACTCTATATGATACTAATGAGCTTGAATAACAACAAGATCACACTTGATCACATACTAGAAGGGTTTTCTTTGTCTGAGGAGCTCATGCTATCAACACTCCAATCACTGTACTCCATGCAGGTACATTGAGATAGCAGCATGATACCATTTTCAAGACTTCTTTTAACTCACATGCTCTCAATATTGTAGCATCAATATGATCCATTTGTCAATAAGTGTAAAGGTAGAGCTCGTACACCCCATTCTCTGCCACGATCTCCTTCCTTCTCTTGTTGCTACCTATGTTTCTTTCTTTGTGATGGATGTCAAGGAGAGTAGAAGACTAGAGAGAGTTGACTAGTGATCCAAGTTGTAAGCACCTGTGCTTTGGAAGAAATGGTGAACTTTTCAGCAGTAGGCTTTCACTCCTTGTTTCTCAGGATCACCAGCTTCTCAAGGCCTTGCATATTAAAGAGCCTTTAGTAAGCTACAAGCATTTCAATTACCAGCTGCATTCCCTGAGAAACCCCTGAGCAATCTATTCTTTCCAGTAAACTCACTCTAGGTCTGTTCATAAGTGGGTCAAAGATATGCTAAAACTTATCTGCCAATTACCAAAACTAGCACATAAGTAGTAAAGGAGGAATATGTCTCTCCACCAGATCTTTCTCCTCATAAGGGTAGAGAAGAATGAGAAGGATTGCCTTCATCTACTAGTATTCTTTGAATCTGTCTCTGGTATTTTTGTCCATCTATTGGATCTGACAATTACTGGGATCTTTTTGAAGTGCTAGTAGTACTAGTATGCCAAATCCCACAAAGTATTATCTTGCTCTATTTCTACTACTCTCTTTTGAACATTTTAAAAAATCATAATATTATGTTTAACATTGTGAACTAGAAGAGGTGCTAGTATGTGGGCAAGAACCAGAACTTCTGGGGAGAAGAATGCTCCTAGCTGCTGTGAGGGGTGGCACCCCCCTCCATGGAGTGGGTGTGGATGTGCAACCATACTCTCTTTCAACCATTATCTGATTGATACATTGTGGATAAATACATCCATAAGATCAGCAGTCTACTGCTGCTCACCAGTTCAGGAAAAGAACCTAAAGGTACCAAGAAACAGCAGACAAGATACGTGACATGTGGTTGGACTTCTTAGTAGTACTAGACCACATGCCCAGCAGCTGCTGCAACTGCATCCCTAATACTACTACTTGCCTTCTTGTCTGGTTTAGCATTGTCTTCGTGGATAAACTAGACCCTCTTGGCCACTTTTCATAGATTGCTGGCAATAACTCACCATTGGCATCCTTGGGCTTCTTCATCAGCTTTCCTCTGGGACAGTTCACAGATATTTGTTTAGCTGGCTCTTTAACAACAAAGGGCCAGATTCTAAGCTTTCCGTGAACTTGAGGACATCTGTTTGTATCCCAACATGGCCTAGCAGTTGCACATAAAAACATCACCTTTGTCATGTAATTCTTTGACTTAGATCCACACTTTGGTTAACGTTCATCAGCCAGCAGATATGTAGTTTGGGTTGCCCTCTCCAAGTAGGTAAAACCAATTTTCATCAATATGAATCCACTTGAACTAGTAGTAGTCAAATCTTCCATTTTCATTGATATGACTCAGAATCTGTTCCACTCTCTGGAGTATATTTGCAGTAGCAACTAGTAGTGGCTTTGCCAATCCATTGTGCTTCTTAATCAGGGCACATTTCACAAGGCATTGGAGAGAATGACATGTCAGAGAATTCTCAAGCCACCTTGGTGATCTCTCTGGGGAAAATTTCAAAGTACCTCCAGGTCTGATAGATTTTGTGGCTTATGACTGCATTGCAGATTTTTGTGCAGACACATCACCAGCTGGACAAGTTCTTGGATCCCACGTTTCCTTGTATTGTTTCTAGATTGTTGAAATGATCTGGGTTGATTTGTTGAACAGAATTGCAGTCTTATTCACTGCTCCCTTTGCAAGCTTTCTGTTTCCAAGAGTGCTTTGGTTCTGTAGAAGAACCTGTAAAATAGCTAGTCTCTTTTTGCTAGTCAAGGTCTTGCTCTACTACTTCCTTGTTAGAGTAGAGGTTGCAATGTTGGTGCTGTGGGATTTGTTGACAGATACTGCTGCAGTATCTGCATGGTTAGTAGACGCCACTGGAGTGGTATCAGTACCCACATCAGTATTAGCAGTAAGGAGTTCAAGACCATTGGTTGTCATCTTTGTTTCTTTGCTTGGTTATCCTATAGCATTGGCGGCCATTTTCCGCCCAACTGAGTCGTTCATTGGGAATGCTCAATATCATATAGCATGGGCCAAGCAAAAAAAGATGGTTGTAACCATACATTAGCAATTAAAGATATACGTACATGTATAATTGGTCAATATTTGTCATACGCTGTACTCCCCCACAGCATTAGAAAGGTCTTTGAATTCTCTTTTTAACCATTGCACGTGCTTATCATACTTAAGCGTCCGTTGGGGAAATAGTTATGGCTGTTCAAGTGAGTTGAACCTCTCTTAATGCCCTATGTGTTTTTTGTACTGTGCGTGGATTTTGGGCTATCTTTTTACCGTGTAATGACTCGTGGGATTAAAAATTTGCATGTGTTCGAAGCCAAAATTGTCAGTTGAGCATGTGCACGCAAAATTATTTGGTCGCACACTTGTGGGACTCAAAAATTAACACTGCTGAGCACATGCATTTTGTACGTTTTAGTCAAATTAGTCATTACACACAAAAAAGATGGCCACAAATACATGACTGGAACCATAGGTTAGCTGGCCAACTCTATGATATGTACAAGTATATCGATCAATATCCGTTGGACGCCATACTCCCTCACCACATTAGAAAGCTGTTTGAATTCTCTTTTAAAACATGTCCTTTTCATACTTAAGCGTCCATTGGGGGAAAAGGTATAGCTGTTTGAGTGAGTTGAACCTCTCTTAATGCCCTATGTGTTTTTTGTATTTTGCATCGGTTTTGGGCTATCTTTTTGCTGTGTAATGATTTGCGGGATTAAAAATTTGGATTTGTACTACAGCTACAGCAATAGCACGTGTTAAAGCAAAAATTGGCAGCAGTTGGAGCACATGCGCGCAAAACTATTTGGTTGCACACTTGTGGGATTCAAAAATTCAGCACGTTTGTGGCTGTACCAGTAAATTGCAGTACAAGCCCTTTTTTAGTCAAAGTACTAGTCATTACACGGAAATAAGTAGCTCAAAATATACGACTGTATTGTACATCTGGCCACCAACACTATACAATAGAACCAAGGTGAAAAACAAAGATGAGTAATGGCATTGGCGCATGGCAGCAGCACAACAGACACGAGAGAAGCAACAACAAATTACAAGGCATACAGTGTGATAATGCAATTGCTTGATTGAACTTCTTTTTGACCTTTGCTTCATTTGCAATTTGTTGGTTCTTGATATCATTAATTTAATTAGCTGCAGAAAACAGCTTGGAGAACATAGCACAATTCAATTACAATTGAGTCCTTCTAATACCAATGCTGCCGCCTCCATCAGTGGTTGCTCGTTGAAGGTCTTCAGGATCAGCTAACTCATTATAGTAAACTTGCCCTCCTGTTTCATTAGCAATGATCCCCAATCTTTCAATGGGCTTGGTACTACTATCATCATCCATTCTTCTATTTGTATTTTAACAAGGCCAAAAGGACAGCAGCTGAACATATCATGCAGCAACAACATTTCTCTTTATACCACTAGGCAGCAAGCTACTTCATTTTATTGCAGGATCAAAGCAAGCCAACAGCAAAGCTTTTCCTAGTAATGCTGCAACTGGATTGCCAAAGACATTTGCAACTGCTGGAGCTACTCCAGGACAGATCCACTCATCAGTCACTCCAGTTCCCTCAACTGGCTTGTAGTAGCAGATACCTCTGAAGGAAAGCCTGCTTGGAATGTTAATATCCAGCCACTCAAGCTCCATGTCTGTGTATCTATCTTGCTGGCATCTAGACTTCCATATAGCTGTATTCCACATCATAACTAGAGCCACCACACTACCTAGCATAAGTTGTTGCAAATTTTCTAATTGAATGAGTACCAAGTTTTCATTTGACCTCTGGTCTTTCAGAAATAAAGACCTGATTCTAAAAGGCATAGCTCTCCATTAAATCAGAATAGTTATTCTTTCCCTTTGTAACTTCTTTGTCCATAGAAGCAACAGTCAATCTCCTATCAGTGATGCCTTCAGTGAACAGCCACTGACTAGATGCCCCAGGTTCATGACACCATTTATCTAGGAACAGAGCAAGAGTAAGTGACACACACAAATTGTGGTTCATAGATCCACATAAAATCTGACATGGACAATTACATTCCTCTCTAGTGTTCTTTGACCATTTCATCTTAGCTGTGAGGAATCTGGGGAACTCTGTGCATCTTTCCAAGGTGCTTCTTCCTAGTACATGAGCAGAATCATGATTCAGACCAATCAAATGAAACTGGAATTTGATCATTGCTAGATATCAAGTGATTACTAGAGTTCCATGATGTCCCACGAATTCAAGCATTGGGAGGAACTTGTTTTTGGTTAGTGACCTATCTATACTGCTCTCAATTCTAAGACCACATATTTCCTTCTTGATGAGAGTTGCAATTTGATCACTTCCTTTCCAGTGTATACCACATTAAGTTCAAGAAGATTCGCCACCAGTTTAGCTCCATGCTAGTTCCACCAGTATTTACAGCTGAAAGTGTTTTCTGGTCATGTTGTTGTTGTTGTTTCAAACATTTGTGTTGGACAGCAATAGCAACAGCAACAACCTCAGCCCCCAATATTCAACCAAGCCCTACCCTTTGAAGAATAACCCCCAAAGTATATGCTACATCATACTCAGTTTTAAAGAAGATTCCTCAGCATCTCCATGCAGTTCCAGTATCTATAGACTGGAAGAAGATTCTGGTGGTGATGTTGTTGTTGCAGTTTCCAACATTTGTGTTGGACAGCAACAAAAATAATCCCAACCCCCAGTATTCAACCAAGACCTATCCTTTGAAGAACAATGCCTGGAGTATATTCTACATCATCCTCGTAATTTTCATATCAAATATTTTCAAAGGCACAAAATTACACTTCGCTTCTGAAAATTATCACCTAGATTTTCTACTGATTCCTACGTAGTTCCTACCTGACCAGCACCTTCTGGCATCTGAACCCACCATGGTGACATCCCTGTTGGAAGGGGGAAACCCCCCTCCCTGGCTCCACTGCTTCAAGCCCTTCTAACAAACAAGCAATGTAACCAAGACTATTACAAGTATATTGATCTCCCCCAGCCAGTGGCAGCAGTTTGCCCCAGCTGGATTCATCCCCAGTTTTTCTAGAAGCGCTGCAGTAAGGTATCTTCTGGTGTTGAAGTTGTTAATGACAACATGCCTGACAACAACACCCCCAGCCCCAGTATTCAATCCAGATCTATCATTTGAAGAACAATGCTTGGAGTATATGCTACACATACTCAGTTTCAAGATTCCCCAGCATCTCCATGCAGTTCCAGTTTTATTTACCGACCAAATTTTTTTTCTGTAACGGCGTTGTTGTTGTTGTTGTTGTTGTTGTTGTTGTTGTTGTTGTCGTTGTTGTTGTCGTTGTTGTTGTCGTTGTTGTTGTCGTTGTTGTTGTCGTTGTTGTTGTCGTTGTTGTTGTCGTTGTTGTTGT